GCCTTGGCAGCCTGCCACTCTCTACGCGGTAGACAGTTTCGGGAAATTTGACACTCTCATGTCTTTCCTTGAAAATCTTGCAGGGTTCAGCCGCCCTTCAATGGCTGGCCCGTTTCTATTAACTCCTCGTGTCAGACTCAAATGTGAGGTTATCCTGGACCTGTTGTCAGAATAGAGTCAATGCATTTCATTGACTTTAAAAAATACACACAAAAACACCTACCATCTTGGTCTTCGAGAAATTTCTACTTTATCTGCGGAAATGGGACACTGCTCTTTGTGTGTATTATGCTGTCACCAATTCCCTTAAAGTGGGAACTAATTTCCTCAAGCATTTATTGTGTCAACAGACCATACCCCGTAAAGCAGGACTTGGAGTTAATCGTTTAGCTGACACTCATAAGCAGAGCATTGGAGAGTGTCTACTGAACATGCTTCTTAGTGAGGGAGAAGGGGTGGTTTGTGAGAGGAGTAGGCCTCTCCCAGTAGCTTGCTTTTAGCTTATCTCCTTTGGTATTCATTTCCACGCTTCAAGTTTTGGGAGCTCATTCATGTCCCTGTCCTTGATGAATAAGTTTGATGGTTGAAAACCATCAGGTCTTGGTTGTTGCAACATCATCTCACTGACAGTAGCCTGGACTTAGGAATCAGAAGTCCTAGGTTGGAGCCCAGATCATAACTTTTACTAACTGTGTGATTCCACTTCAGTTGTTCATGTTCCCAGTCTGTAAAATGGAAATAATAAACGATGTATCTGCCCTCACCTCCACTCCAGCTACCCATCTCCTCACAGTGTGGGTCAAATGAGAATGTGAATTGGAAAATGTCATGTATGGCTCTGCCATGGGCATTCCCATGCTTGCCAAAGATGGCGTAGTGAGCTAACTACTGCAGGGGCGTGAAAGGACTCTATGTTGGAGGACAGTTATCAAGACTTTCCCCTTCTACAGCTTCTGTGATCATTAACCCACCCTAGTGGCAACTTGGACCACTGTGTGTGTGTGTGTGTGTGTGTGTGTGTGTGTGACTGTTTAATAGGACTTTCTTTCTTTAGTTAAGTTGAAATTTATCCTTATAACTAACTTCCAAGATAATTTATACTTCTTGGTTCTAGTTTTATGGAGTAATATGAAACAATTCAAATCAGTGTATTTCAAGTCATAAAAAGTTATCATTGAGAAAGGGTCTTATAACTAACTCCGCTTCCTGTTTTTGGCAATTCTATTCAATAAGAGCTAGTGCCTGTCACGTGGGTGTTTGGGAATTAAAGGCGGCTATTGTTTCTCCTCCTGATCTCCGGAAGTGGACCAGAAGGGCATGAGGCTCAATTGGAGATGAATGGGAAGGAAACATTTTTTAACTCAGAAATAACGGTGACTTTAATTTTATTTAAAACACAGCACTTGCAAGAGTAAACAATGCCTCCATTTATTGGGCTATGAATAATTTAAATGGCCAAGTAGACTACTGAGCTATAAAAACAAAGACAAAATATTGATAAAAACATTTCTAATTTTTATAAGCTCCCACGTGTTTAACAACCAGTAAGGGAAGAACATTAATTGCACACAGAGAAATGAAAAAATGGTGATAGGGCAGCATGACAGTGCCTTTGTGTGCTCTGCACTGAGGTTCTTATATTGATAGTTGCCACAAGCCAAGGGAGGACCCTGATGTCTCTCATCAGAGATGGAAGGCAGGGCCCACTCTCTGCATTGGTTCCATAGTGATTGAAGAATTTGAAATAAACACAAGCAAACCAAAAAGCAGCACTGGCCTGCTGTTAGATGCCCAGGTTCTGTCTTGAGCCTCTTGCTGTCTAGCAGTGTGACTTCAGGGAAATCAGTCTTTACTCCTCAGAATTAGTTTCCCCCACATTAAACTAGGGAACATTTTCCTGCCCTGCCTATATTATATAGTTGTTAGGATTAAATGTGACATTGTACATGGATTCAAATCTTCACTTACTTACAGCCAACTTAACTTCTGGAGAGTTCTTTAACTGTCTCTGTGCCAGCTACTTTATCTTTAATTTGGGGATAATGCTAGCTAGCTTTTTGGGAAGTAAGTGGGTTCATTCCCATCAAGTACATAGAACAGTGCCTGAGAGTTCATGCCTAATGCAACCGCTATTGTTCTGTGCAATTTTGAGGGCTCTGTGACTTAGTATATGTTTAGTCTACTATAGTTTTAAAAATAACATCTTTTTTAAATATAAAAATTGTTACAACAACCTATTTAATAACCAAACCCAATCACAGAATTGGCAGGTTTCATCTTTTTTTGTTTTTTTAATCACTTTGGTGGTTTCCCAAGATATGACTTTGTTGTCTGAAAAGCTTAATCATGATACCAAAACTTATTCCCAAGTGCTTTTAACCAGCAGTGTGGGTTTGGACAGCGGTAGGTGGGGACCATCATTCGACCCCACCTTCTCTGTTCCTATTAGGGTCTTGAGATCTGCCTTAACTGTCTAGAGCTTGGCTTGTGTCACATGTAACAACAGGGAGTGTAAAAATGTTCTCTTTGCTTTTGAACTGTACGAGTTGGAGTATGTTTTGAGCCATGTGACGTTTAGTGGTACTGAAACGTTGATTAAGAACTCCATTTATAGCAGACCCATTCATAATAATCCCAGAAGCCACTTCTAGATAAAAATACTGATCATGATGTCCCATGGCTTTCCCTAAAGGGTAAAGTTCAATTGTGGGAAATGCTGAGAATTTAACTAGTAATTAACTTATTAAAAACCATGTTTTAAAAAATCACATCTCCCCTGAGCTATTATAAAAAAGAAACTACAGTAATGAGTTCAGAATTCTTTTTCTATTTATTTTTTATAAAGTGAAACCCAGTGATGATTGTCCAGTATCTTCAAGTCTGTTGCTGGACTAAAATAGTTTCTGTAGGTAGAGGAGGCATTGAGCCCAGTGCTGGCTTTTTAACCTCAGGTCCAGTCTGGATGAACACTGCTGCTGCTGCTAAACTAGTTATCCAGCTAGAATTGTAGACTTTCATCATCAAAGTTTGATGATGGGTATTTTTGAAAGTTTGATTATATAGAAGATGGGAACATGGCTTTTTTCTGTTTTCCTGTTTATCAACAGAATTGAGACTTGAATGTTTTCTGTTGATCCATCTTGGATGGAGTTAAAAACCTCTCTTGGTTCTTAATTGTCTTTTTAATATATTTCTTGAACCCTAAACCCTTTATTTCTAAAGTTTTACTCATAGGCTGTATTCCATTATAGTCCTAAGTAACATGATTAGGCTAATCATTTTGAAATGAAGAAATTACTTGAAACATATAAAAAGCACAAGTTAAACTTTATCTGCTGGTCAATTTATTTCTCTTCGTTTTTCATGAAGGACTGTCAGGTTTCTGTCTGGGAGGCGATGAAGAGGTTGTATGGTGAAGAGGGGCCCTCAAAGGGCCACCTGGCAGAGAAAGGAGTGCTGTTTGGAGGTGCTGGGTCTGAGTGATACAGGGCAAGGGTCTCTGCTTCTTTCAACATCAGCTTCCTCCTCTGTCAGTGGCACTGCCTGTCTGGAAGGTTACAGTTGATGCCACACATTCCTGGGTGCACTACAGAGTTCCGACACATGGTTAACTGTGATAGTTTATGTTAGGAACTTGTTCCATTTCTGTTGAATATTTTCCACGCAATTCTGAACAGACATTTTGGGATTCTCTGTTTGTGTATGTAGAGCTTTACTTTTAGAGGTTACCTGAAGACTCTGAGAACACTGAAAGGAATACTTGATTTTTGAATAGACTGATCATTCAATAAATTCTTACTTCTTTTTATTTATTTATTAATTTTTATTGATTTTGTACAGAGAGAAAGGGAGAGAGAGAGAGAGTTAGAAACATCGATGAGAGAGAGTCATCGATCAGCTGCCTCTTGCACACCCCCTACTGGGGATATGCCCGCAACCAAGGTACATGCCCTTGACCGGAATCGAACCCGGGGCCCTTCAGTCCCCAAGCCGACGCTCCATCCATTGAGCCAAACCGGTTTCGGCAAATTCTTACTTCTTGGTTCCTCCGTTTACTGTGTTAAAAGTTTAAATTACCTTTTTTTCTTTTTTTCCATTTCTCCAGTTTTGACATCTTTATGAATTTAGCTTTTAAGAAAGTTGCCAGGACCGTTTTTGGCTCAGTGGATAGAGCATCGGCCTGCGGACTGAAAGGTCCCGGGTTCGATTCCGGTCAAGGGCATGTACCTTGGTTGCGGGCACATCCCCAGTGGGGGGGGTGCAAGAGGCAGCTGGTCGATGTTTCTCTCTCATTGACGTTTCTAACTCTCTGTCCCTCTCAATTCCTCTCTGTGTAAAATCAATAAAATATATTAAAAAAAAAAAAAAAAAAAGTTAAAGCACTCTGGCCAGGTAGTTCATTTGGTTAGAGCATCGTCCAAGTTTGCAGTTCCATCCCTGGTCAGGACCCAGACAAGAATCAACCAATGAATGCATAAGTGAAATCACAAATCAACCAATCTCTCTCCCCTTCCCTCCTACCCTCTCTCTCCCCCTCCCACTCTTTGAAATCAATAAATAAAATTTTTTTAAAAAAAAGTTAACAGAGTAACTGAAAAGGATATAAAGTACTGCCAGGATATCCCTCATTCACAATATCATATTTCATTCCTTAATTTGTTTCTGGATTATTTGAGCCTTACGGTTGTTATAAAGTGCCCTCAAGGACACAGGTTGCATTTCCAAACCGGTGCCTTCGTGAGGGGAAAGGAAGGGCATTCTCAGTGCATGCTCTTGGGCTGCGCCTCCCCCACAGCCTCTTAGTTTTTCTGGCTCCTCAGTGGTTTGGACCCTGTGTTGGTGGTCAGTGCTCCCGGTGGCTATGTTCTAACGCAGGTTGAAAGATATGCTGCTTGGGAACCAGTATTCGAAACATTACATATTTTAATGAGCCATAAATTGCACAATGTCTTCTTTGTGTTGTTTTATAATCCAACATGTTGTTCAATTTGTTTCCCCAGGTGACGTTTTTCTGAAATTGTTCATTGCAAGTTCCTGGCATTCCTGTAGATACACTAGGTAAGTAAATGAAATCAGATGCCCTTCTTGTCAGTGATTCTCTGGAAATGCTTTCCAGGTTGGTAGCAACTTACTTGAAAGAGGTGCAGTGTTTCAAACTTTGGGGCCATGAATGCTAAACACTAAGTTGTTTTTTTGGGGGGTGAGTGGAGGGTTGGATTAAAACACCACTTGATGGTCATACACGAATGTTGTAAAGGACCCTGTAAAGTTTCAAAGTGGTATTAAGTTTAATGCTGTAATTTCCATGCTTCAGTTCTGGCATGATCTGTTCCGTTACTATTCATAAAAACCAGTTTCAGGGCTCTTTATAATGGGCCTCACTGACTAAGTTGTCTTTCCCTTTGAGCTTCTCTGTGGACCATTTCACTGTTTATCATTTCTCTCTGAAAGGGGAAGTAGAGATGGCCAGTTCAGATTACCCCTTTTATTAGTGAGTGTCCACTCAGGTACAGGAGTTGCCTAAAGAAAAGTTGAAAACAGTTGACTAATGGGTGATTTATGATTAACTCTATGGATTTTAATTTATAAAGGCCACTTTTGGGAAATATTAGTAACAATGATGGGGGCTGAGCATGCATTCAAGAAAAGTCTTATTCAACATGTAGCGTTCTCTTTATGAACTTGAGGCTATAGCTCAGGCCAAGGGAGCCAGCTTGAGGTCTGAATTTGGGACCAAATACCCTCTACGAAGGAGAGTCTGACATATGCAGGGAATCTGTAGAGCATCTTCCCAGACTCCATGTCATTTGTGGGAAGGTGACTGTCTAAGCTTACAGGTTCCGGAGGAGGCGAAATTGGTGTTTTGTCACAAATTGAACTATTGACTTCTCCAATGTTACTAAATTGTTCTAACAACTGCTTGGGTTAGATTAGGAAACTTGGTTCTTTATATTTTCTTTTGTTTTATGGGAACTTCAAACCCTTGTGAGTTATGAGATTATGTGAGCAAAGTTCTTTATCATGGGAAACCCAGGGCTGGTCTGAGTCAGGTGGGTATCCTGAGGCGGCTAATTGTTGGCACCGTTACTGATAATCTTTAATCTGCTCCGTATTTCTTTAGTGGCGGTGGAAGAAGCTGATTTTCCATTAATAAAACTATTAATTAAAAATACATATATCTTTTCCTATATGTTGAAAATAAGGATTTATTGCATGTTTTACTGAACCAGGTGCTCATAAACCTGTCTGAAATTCAGCTACTAACACTCTGTCGCGCATGGTTCAGATCCAGAATTTCAGGTGCCCGTCAGCCAGGTGACTTTGGGGTTGGTAGCGAGGCCTGTTTTTTACTCAGTCGGTTCTACGAGTGAAAACAGTCTTAAACAGAAGCAGGTCTGTCCTGGTGAGGGGTGTCCAGGTGAGGGGTGTCCTGGTGAGGGGTGGGTTTATTTCTACTCGGAGGCACCGTCTGCCATCTCGCCCCTTATGTAAGGAGTGGCATGTTCACCCCTGAGTTAGTGGCTCCATATTTCCGATTTTTCCCAATGATGATTTAGTCTCCCATTGTGGTTGTCGCCCTGGATTGTTGCTAGGCTGGCCTGTTTATCCAGCTCTGGGGGCAGCCAATTCCTTGCTGCAGTGCCTTCATAGTCACCCTTGAAATCCCCGTCTCTGAAGATTTAACCGGATGAAACCAGCCTTCTCGGCGTCTTTTTTAGTTTTGACTGTGAATTCATCCCAGACAAGTACAATACAACTTGACCAAGTCAGACAGACACAGCACGGCCATTCTGAATTACAGAGAAATCTGGCCTTACCTTCTGTTACGCACACTCACATGCTATCAACTGGTGGAAGGTTTCTGTATTGCGGTTGGGGGAGAGCCTCACTGTCAGGCGGTCCCAGGCTGTGGCCCCACCTCTGCTGGACTCAGACCTGAGCTGGGATCCCAGCTGGGTGCGCGTTGGCTGTGTGACCCACAGCAGGTTTCTCTACCTGATGGAACTCTTTCCATGTGGATGCCACTTCCTCCCAAAGTGGTTTGGAAGACTGAACGAGGCAGTGAGGGCAAGGTGTGTGGTACACAGTAGACTACAAAGCACTCCCTGTCTGGCTCCCTGATCCTGGGGATCTTGGAAGGAACACCGGACCTGGATGGGTTGGAGGAATGCCCTGCCAGGCACCTGTGCCCTCGCTAGTAAAGTGACAAGGTGACAAGGCGACAAGGCAACGCCTACTCTGTTCTGCCTGCCTACTCTGTGAACATTGGGAGCGGCCTTTGAAAATCATGAAGTTAGGGTGTGTGTTGATATTAGGGAGCTTCTAATGGGAAGACTTTTAAAAAAATATAATCAGAACTTCCTGGGCTTGAATCCCAGATCTTGACCTTATAGTTGGGGTGTATGACCTTGAACAAGTTACTTACACCCTCTCTGGCTCTCACCTGCCTCACAGGTTTGCTGTGAGATTAAATGATGTACTGTGTGTAGAATGGGGCATACAGAAGTAGTACCTAGTGAATCTCAATATGGCTTTTCCTTGCATATAGTGTGACTGTTAATAACATTGAGGTTTTAAATGCCAGTTTTAGGGTATAGAATTCATTTCCACTAGCATCTTGGAAGAAGATAATTGGAGAGGGGAAGCACTTAATAAGAGAGGGTGTAACAGCCTTCCCCCTTTACTGAGGGGAAAATGAGTCAAATACGTGGACTTTGGATAGGAAACTGGTAAAAATAGAATAGAACTGAGATGGTAGTTTTTCAAAATTAAAAAAACAAAAACAAATCAAAGGAATCGCATATACTAAAGGCTTAAGGGAATGCAGTTCTGTTCCCACTGTTGTTATTCCCATGTTGACAGCTTATCTTTTTTCTGGAAAGAAGTTCTGGCTAGACCTGGGCTAACTTGGGAGAAGCGTATGGAAGATGCTTTCAGCAGGAGTGCTCTCTTTTTATGGAAAGGTGCTCTCCTTGGGAGATCCTAAGCTTCCTGAGGGCTGTTTTGAGGCTTTTGTTACATCCTTGGTGCCCAGTACAATGTGTGGTGTTCAGTAAGTATCAGATGAATGGTTAAAGGATAAGTGATATTTAAGTGCTGGTTAAGCTGTACAACATTTCTGTTACTCCTCACCCGAGGATATTTTTCCATTGATTTTTTAGGGAGAGTAGAAAGAGAAGGAAAGACAGTGAGAAACATCGATGTGAGAGAAACACATCGATTGGTTGCCTCCTGCATGAGCCCCCCACCAAGGCCCAGGCTGAGTAGGAGCCTGCAACCAAGATATGTGCCCTTGACCAGAATTGAACCCAGGACCTTTTGGTCTGCGGGCCGATACTCCATCCACTGAGTCAAACAGGCTAGGGCCATTTCTGTAACAGTCTTTGAAGAGACCTCTACTTCAGGCACATTGTAGGTTGCTCAGCATAGAGCCTGATACATATCATGTGCCCAGTAAATGGGCAAATGGAGGAGTGAGTATGAACTTAAGTATAACTCCCAATTTGTTAAGGAGTTTTGGAAGCATGACCCGTTTATAATTTGGGAAGCCATGAAAATTCTTTTAAGCAAAGAAGTAAAGTTGAACAATAAGAAGGCACCACAAACCCTAACTGGTTTGGCTCAGTGGATAGAGCATCGGCCTGCAGACTGAAAGGTCCCAGGTTCGATTCTAGTCAAGGACATGTGCCTTGGTTGCGGGCACATCCCCAGTATGGGGTGTGCAAGAGGCAGCTGGTCGATGATTCTCTCTCATCGATGTTTCTAACTTTCTATCCCTCTCCCTTCCTCTTGTAAAAAAAAAAAATCAATAAAATATATCTTTAAAAAAAGAGGGCACCACAAGTGGCATATTGACCAGGAGACCAGGTAGGAAGGTGTCATTGGCAAGAAACAATGAGGGCTGGGGGCGGGGGGGAGGGTAAAGATAGGGTTGGTCCCTCGCATCTGTACCTTCACATTACCAGCCCAGAGGTGAGCCGGGCTGCAGCTAACTGATGAAGCTCAGACCCGGGGGCAGTGCCCATGGCTTAGCTTTGGGCAGGAGCTGGGGCAGCTCATCAGAGGAAGGGTGGGATTGCCATAGACAAGCTTAAAGAACAAGGAATGGATGTTAAGAGGATTCTCATGTACTGGCTTTTGTACTTTTGGGAAGTGGGAGAAATCATTTGTCTCGGGGAAGGGGGCGGTGTTAAGAAGAATGAACACTCCCTTACTTGGAAAGGAACTCTTCTCCATGCTAATGTGGCCAGAGTCCATCTTCCTGTGAATTCTGGTGCTCTGCGGGATTACTCCACAGGGGATTCCCATCCTGCGTTCAACGGGATTGGTCCATAGGACACTCTGGATTTCACATCAGTAACCACAGTTTTGTTTTGATCAAATGCCAAAGTCTGTGAAAAAGATTTACACAAATCCTGCAGCAGGTGCATTTGGAATACCAATGGACACTCCTCTTGTCGTTCTGTCTCCATGAAGAAATGCCCTTGATCCCTCCGTAGACAGCTTGTTACTTTAATGACCCACTTTTAAATTGCTGTTTGAAAGCGGGGAGATGAACTGACCTCGGCTGACTAAATATGCACTGGGATGGAATGGAGGTGTTTCCCTCATTGTCACTGTAAAGTGTACTGATCCCATATAATAAAGGCTAATATGCAAATCGACCAAATGGCGGAATGACCAGTCGCTATGACGTGCACTGACCACCAGAGGGAAGATGCTCAATGCAGGAGCTGCCCCCTGTGGTCAGTACACTCCCAAAGGGGGAGTGCCACTAGGCCAGAAGCCAGGTTCACCGCTGGCCAGCGCAGCCTTGCCTCCATGGCAATGCTAAGGATGTTCGACTGCAGGCTTAGGCCTAAATTGTCAGTCAGATGTCCCCCAAGGGCTCCCAGTCTGCGAGACGGTGCAGGCCGGGCTGAGGGACTTCTCCCCTCCCTTGCCTTCCCCCCTGAGTGCACAAATTTTGTGCATCGGGCCTCTAGTGCTTTTATATGATGCTTGCTCATATAGGTAAATAGTATCTGTGTACAGTTTTATTTTGCATCCCTTTTAAT